CCTCATCATCATCATCATCATCATCATCATCATCATCATCATCATCATCATCATCATCATCATCATCATCATCATCATTCCCCTTTCATTCCCTCATTATCGTTATCTTCGTCCACCGCATTGCTTAAGTCTTCCCGGAAAAAACCCGTACCAACTAACTTGTACTTCACTACCCGTACAGTTGTTATGCCACACATGCATGGTGATCCACGCCCCACCCCGTCACAACAACTCGCCGTTACGTTACATCATGACTTCAAAACAAAAAAGTACCGATCGGCGGATTCAGTGTCACAACTCACGCAGCACGCACCGCACGGTACCGCGCCGGTCCAGCCCACCTTTTTTAAACTTCGTAGTAATGCAAACCTTTTGTACGATAAATACAACGATGTGTACGGCTTGCACGTGCAGGCACGGCAGTTGCCTAAGCTGGTTGGCCGGCTGCCTACACAGACGCCTCGATTGAGGTGGGAGGCAGGGTGTGTGTGTATATGTGTGTATATATGTGTATATGTTGTATACATTGTATTGTTGTATATGTGTATATATGTGTGTATATGTTAGGGGCATGTTTTCCGGTCTTCAGTGTTGAATTTGCGAGTGTCCACACATTGGAAATGAGGGGTTTAAGTTTGAGGGGAAGATGGGTTCAGGAAAGGATGCTTACCTCACCAAACAGCGCCGCGTCCAAATGTTGGGTTGCTTGTTTGTTTCGTAATGTGCAGTACGCGTGCCGTACCATATTTTCAGTTATTTCGTACGCTCCCTGTCCACGTCTCCTGCCCCCATACAACTCCTCCGTCTCCTTCCCGGGGCTTCCCCCCCCCCGCCCGCCCGCCCGGGAGTAATACGGAACTCGTGTCGCCAATAACCCCGAACCCCCCTCCCGTCCCGCGCGTGTGTGTGTGTGGGGGGGGGGGAAATTAACAACCCGCAGAAGCCAGGTGTACGACATGGCTCTACAGTCGCTACTGCAAAACACAGCCGACCACCCCACGCTGGTGTCACTAGCGCATAGCTGGCCGTCCGGCTGCTACAGCCTGGCGGCGTTAGCTGACGCAGTAGCTGCCAGACTGCGCCGGCTGCAGCAGCAGCAGCACCAGCACCCACCACCGCCGCCGCCGTCGTCGCCACCACAGCAACCGGCCGAAACATCAACAACGGCTGTTGCTGCTACTACTGCTGCTACTACTGCTGCTACTGCTACTGTTGCTGCTACTGCTGCTACTGCAAGCGGTAGCGACGGCGGCGGCGATTCGTTGCTTCTATGGGAGCTTCTGGCGTGGTTGTACGAACAGCAGGTACGGCAATTGTTTTGCGGTGAGCAACGCAAGTAAAGGGCGGGGAAGGGCGGGGGCGGATGGGTAGCCCCACATGTGCCACAGTCTACCTGTAAATGCCGCGAGCAGTGAAATCCGCAAACAGGGCCAAATGCGGATGGTAACATGATTAAGGACAGGGACCCCTGGGACTTGGGCGTGTCCCTGTGATGTGAAAATGGAACAATGTTACAGAAGCAGTAAAGAGTAGTTACAGTTACAGTTACAGTTACGGTTACGGTGTCCGCATAGGTGCCATAGCAGTAGCTGCAGTAGCATAAGGCGCAGTTGCTGCTGCAGTAGTTGCAGTAGCTGCAATAACAGTAGTTGCAGTTGCAGCAGCAGTAGCAGAAGAAGTAGTTGCAGCGGCAGTAGCTGCAGTAGCTAGGGATTATGCCGACGTGTGATGATGACGAGGGCCCTCGGTGGTCGAGGGCAGGGACTGACCTTCTTGCATGGTGTATAAAAGCTACCTTGCTACAGCTACCTCTGCCTTTTCTAGCGCAAATGCAGGTACTGCTGCTGCTGCTAATGCTATGATGGTTCTACTACTGCAACTGATGATGATGATGATGTTGGTGATTGTGATTGATGCCTTCGGTTTCAGCCTTCATTTCTTGCCCCGACCTCGCTTGCAGGGTCGCCCCGACCTCGCTCTCTCAATACACCTCCGCCTCAAATCACCGGCCGTGTTCGGATTCGTGACTCAACACGGCCTGCAGGTGCGTGAGAGAGGGGGGCGTGCGTGTATACATGGATATGTGCGTGTGTGTACGTATATATGTGCGTGTGTGTACGGATGTGTATGTGTATGTGTGTACATTTTTATGTTGCTTGGGCAGGTTTTTTTTCGTGGCAACCTCAAAAGGTTATGGACTTTTGACTTCTTGGCTTTAAGGACCCTCATTTTAGCCCTTAACAATACCTTCAAATCACTTTTGAAAAATCCGAAAACCCTTAATTTTCTGGTAGTACCCTTTCCCGACTGTTTTCAGTCGAACCTGCTGGGCCGAGCCGCTGACCTCTTCACCGTGGGTGAGAAGGAGGCACTCGCTCTGCTCACGTCGCACGTGGATACGCTTCCGCCGTCCAATGTCGTACCAAGTCTGCAGGTGTGTGCGTATGTATGTATGTATGTATGTATGTATGTATGTATGTATGTATGTATGTATGTATGTATGTATGTATGTATGTATGTATGTATGTATGTATGTATGTATGTATGTATGTATGTATGTATGTATGTATGTGTGAGTGAGTGAGTGAGAGTGTGAGTGTGTGTGTGTGTGAATGAATGTGAGTATGTGTGCGCGCCTCTGCAGGTAGGTAGTTCTGCTGGGAAAACGGATTTTGAAAGTTAAGGGAAGAAGAAAAGATTTGAGGATGAGGATGGGAAGGGGAAAAGAGATTGAGACTGAGGAAAAAATGTAGATTTATGTCGTTTTGTTATCGGATTGAAAAGGAAAATCATTCCACCTCGCTTTTCTCTATTTTCACCTCATCCCAAACATATCCGTCTAGGCTATCTGTCTATATCTGGTATCTGCTTCATTCGTCTGTGGTTCGTCTTACCCATCCCCCCATACACACACGCACACACAGACAGACCGCTCTCCCACCCCCCCATACTCCTCTCCCCCTACACACACTCCTCGCCCCCACTCACCCCCACACACCCACCCACACACACGCACACACTCCTCTCCCCTCCGGCCATAGGATGCCGTTCGTTCCGCCTCGTCCCCCTCCCAAGCCGCTGTTTGGCGCCGGCGGCTGTTCAGCTACCTCACGGCGCTCCTCGCGGCGGACAGCTCCGTTGCGGCGGAATACCATGACCTGCAGGTGCGTGCGAGGGGGGGGGCTTTTTAGTGCTTCCTTTGTGTGCGCGCTCGCGTGTGTGTGTGTGTGTGTGTATTCGCGTGTGTATACGTGTTTTACGTGCCTAGATTTTCTGTGAGCGTGTGGGTCGAGTGTCGGGGTGGGAAGGGGGTTTGGAGGCCCGGGGTTTTTCCCGTTTGCTTTTTAATAAATCAAGGCAGCTGCGGTGGTTTGAGATTGCCATGCCCGCAACTTCCAGGCAGCTTCTTTCTGACCAGTTTAGAAACTGGCGCCAGCGTTTGCGACGTTGGATGCGTCGGCTCTTGATTACATCTTTCTTTTTTTCTGTTTGAGCGATAAAAGAAGATTTCCGGTTTCCGAGAAAATGATTTCCTCTCCCTCCCCCTTCCGAACCCTGTTGATATTGCTGTTGCAATTACTTTGTGTTAATACACCGCTCCTCTGTTGGTACTAATGTACGGAATAATCAGATCTCTTTGACTGCGGAGTACCAGCCTTCCAAGCTCATGGACCTGCTGACGTCATCGCAGTATTACTCATTAGAGGTACGACAGGTCCGGGGACGTACGAGCGACGTGCGGGTTAACAGTGGCGAAACGTCGGGTAGGAAGTGACGGTTGCAGTACACAATTGTTAGTTGTTGGTTGTCGAATAAAACATTGGTTAGTAATCGCCATTCTACTTTTATTATCAACTTCAGAAATGCGGTCGGAACCGGAGATGTGAGGACTTCTGAGGGGTTCCCTTTCCTGGGTGGGGTAGGGGTAAGGGTAAGGAGGAAGGATGATGTCATTACCGCTATGTCCCAGTAGCTTTTGCTTCCATAGCTTGGTGTAACCCGATGGTTGGGACGGGGGAAAGGAGCGAAACAAAAAGCTTCAGGTCTTAAATACCTAATCGTTGCATCTAGATGCTCCTCCTAAACGTCGCCAGGAGGGAAGAAGTGGGAAGGACTTATGGAAGTTATGGAAGTTATGGTTCGAGTCTGTCCGAGTTTTTTTCGAGTGTTTTCCCCCCGCTTTTTAACTCTTTGAATTACGCTGAAGAAAACGTGCTTTTCCCCGTACGTACGACCCGTACACAGGGCGCTCTGGCTATCTGTGAGGCTCGGGGGCTGGTTTCGGAGCAAGTGTTCGTGCTCGGTCGTATGGGGAATGCTGACCAGGCCTTGAGGCTCATCATTGATCGGTTAGGCGACATTCCCCAGGTAGGTCCTTGTGTGACACGTATTCATGTATGTATGTACACACACATACATAACGTAATAATAAATAAATATATATATGCAAATATATGTATATATGCAAATATATGTGTATATATATGTATATACACACTCACACAGCCATTCGAACAGGTGACGGCGCATTGCGATTAATGCGGGATGTCGATGAGGACCTGACACTGGCCGTTAGTACGACCCGCCAACGTCGGAGTGCTTTGGCGGTTTCTCACCCACGGGGGGGCCGGGTAGCGTCCCCCGGCCGTAGAGGGCCAGTGAGATATGTAACACATATACACGCACACATACACACAGACGCGCACACACACATACACACAGACGCACACACACGTACACGTACACACATACACTCAGACGCACACATGCACATGCACACACGTAGCATCCGTGCTCTATCTTTCCTGTTGACACAAGGGGGGAACGCAGGGGGGGGGTGCACGCCCTCGGTCGAGCAAAAGAGGGGACTGTGGCCCCCGACGTTTTCTCCCACGAAGGGGAACCCAAAGTCTCTTCTCTTCCCCCCCCCCCCCCAACACACACACAAGGAGGAGAGTGTCTCGCCGGTCGCTCATTCCCGTTGTGGTACGGTTACAGATGGTTACAGTTGGCCATTGGCCAGTGTCAGGCCCGGATTGATATGTAATAAATACATACATACATACACGACAGACACACAGACAGACGCACACACACATGCACACACACTCGCAGGCCATCGATTTTGTTGTGGGTCAGCGAGACGAGGATCTCTGGGGACGTCTGATCGACTGGGCGCTCGGCAGCCCCGAAACCACGGGCGCTTTGCTGGATTGCATCGGCGGTTTTGTGGACCCCCTGCTGCTGGTCCGCCGTATTCCCCTGGGGATGAAGGTGGACAGATTGCGAGACCGTCTGAGGGCCATCATCGCTGACTACCGGCAAGTGGAGAGGGGGGTGGGTCTGGAGTGGGTCTGGAGTGAGGATGTCAGAATCGATGTAATGTCAGGATTACTAAAAAACTCTTTAAAGCTCATTCAATTAATATATAATGGAGTTTAAGGGGTTCAGGGGGTTTTCCGCCTTTCATGTTTGAATTTTAAGGTCGCGCGAAGTGTTTTTATGTGAAGGTGTTTCTTAAAGGGGTTTTTAATATTTCAAAAAAAGGACATTTGAAGAAACCAACACTTTTTTTCCGCGCGGCTCTCTCCACCCACCGCCATGCTAAACGTTTTCTACGATACATACAAATACATATGATAAATCGTGGAAATGATAATGTGTTCAAATGCCCCCAAAGCCTCCCACCCTGTAACAATTCAATTCAATATATAAATTAATACAAACATACATGTATACATATAAATATATAAATACTTGCACACATATTCGTGGAAATGCAGCACGCAAACCTCTCTTCGGGAAGGTTGTAACGCCATCTTGAGATCCGACTGCCGACACCTCCTCGCCAAGTTGTACGATGGCACACGGCGGGCGCTGCCGTACTTGTATGTCGTACGACCTGGTACGGGCTCAAATGGCGGGCAATGGTACAGGTGAGTCATGAGGCTTATTGGTTTGACTTTTTGTTGTTGTGGTATGATGTATAATCATGTGTTTTTCTCGCGTCTTTTCCTGTTTTTCCGCGCTTTTCCTGACAAACGTCTTAAAAGCATAAAAAGTTGTTGTGGGTGCATCATCTAGAGCAACAGCAACATCGACAGCAGAGCAGCCATGGTGAGGCTGTCAGTCATTGCACTTCAGGGGGTGCTGCTGGGCCATCATCTCCTCCCTCACACACGACCTCACTAGAGGCTCCCGTGGGGCGCCTCTGAGAAGGAGAGACTGAAGGCGGAGATGATATGCGAGAGACGTAAGGGGGAATTATGTCATAATTAATGACAAAGATTATGTCATTACTCCATTATGTCATGAAAATGATAATTAATTATGTCATTTATTATTATGTCGACGTACGTGTCATCCTTCACCTGACATTGCCGTATTAGTCGACGTACTCTTCAATTTACATTGCCGTACTCGTCGCTGTACTCGTCGCCCTCATCTTAACCTCTCAACCCCTCAACCTAACGTTTCAATGGCTAACTCACTCTAATTGGCACTATAAGTTGAAATTTTACGAAAGATTACGCTTATCTGGATCTGAGGAACCCCGTTACCATATTGTAGTTCAATTAAACTGCCTTAGTTACGCAAGGTCTTATGACGAAAAGAACGTCGTTTGATTAGACAACGAAGTCACAATTCCCGCAAAACTGATGATCCAAAAGAAAAAAGTAAAAAACGGTGCGAAATTTGAAATTTGAAAACCAGTGCTCTCTTCACACAAACCCGCAACGACAAATGCTATATATATACTCCTCATCCGCTCTTGCATGTCATAGGCTCTCCCTGTCGTACACGCACGCTCTGCACACGCCGTACAACATTTCCTGCAGGTGTGATGTCGTACACGGCGGAAAGTTGCAGCCCGTTAGCCCGTCCGAAATGATTCCCGACGAGGCGGCGGCGGCGGCGGCGACGGTTCATATGCTCCCGGGATATCGGAGCCAGGGGCAGTCTCCGTTTCCCAGTGCGCTAGG